TATGCCACAACTGCGTGATGCTATCATGTCAGTATTGACTAATGAACTAAAATGCCCGAGGAACATTTCCAGCAGCTTGTTGAATCAAAGCCACTGAGAATTAAAGCAGTTCTGAAGACAAAAGGGGGTCAAATCTAGCACTAGCAAGGTGTACCTAATAAAGTGACTGGTGAATATATGTATTATTATATTATCATATATTTCTTTAGCAAAGACTTATGAGTTGGTAAGTTCACTAGTTTAAGATGGCTTGATGTTCATATTTTTCAGTTACGGTTCTATTTAGAGTAAATCATGATATCATATCTAGACTGAAAAACATATTCTGATTTATAGAGTATCTATATTGTAACTGAAAAGTCACATGAGCGTGTAGTGTTGCTCAGTGAGATCGTAGTCATGTTGTAGACTGACGTTTATAGAGTGTCTGCATATGATTAGCCTATTCATCGGTAAACAATCAGCTATAGTCGTTATTTTTGATTTAGCATTTCACTGATCGTTTAAAACTTGAAATGTAAAAATCTGACGCAATTAGTTCATTAAGAGCATTTTTTTTAAACGGGGCAAATGAAAAACAGACATTCAGTTTGTAGCATCCTAAGAAGTTTTTAGTCTAAGCAAAGCAAAAGAATAAAGGAACAGATCCTCCTTTTCTCAACAATCTTTCCAAAACAGAACGAGTACATTTATTCCCCTCTTGCTTCTGTTTAGATCAGAAAATCACGACGACTTAAATTTTTCAGTGTGGCTTAAAGTAAAATATCACTTGTAAACAGAAAGCGTGTCAGTCGCAGCCATTCTTATTCTCAATAACATAAGGTCCATATCTCTAATATGAAACAAAGACACACAAACTGGAGCTGCCTCATTAACAATCAGATTGGAAATCAAACTGAGTTTCATTATTCCCATGTCAGGAGCCTTGAGAGCTGGAGCTGGTTTTTGCATTTTGGCAGCAAATTTACTTTCTAATAAAAACTTTATTAAGCTGGCAGACAGTCAATTATATTGGCATCAATAAACCACCACAGGAAAGTACATATTTTCTTTTTAGCCTTGATAGGAGATAAAAGTGCTGTTCTTTTCCCATTATTTAGACATTTGTTAGCCAAACATCAGATCTGTGATTAATGCCCTAATATTTCTTTATACACCACAGATATCCTTTGTCTTTGATCGCTGCCATGTGATTGTTCGTCGTTGTTCGATATTTTAGTATCCAGTGAATATTAAACCATAACCTGACCGTCTGTAACCTCAAGCGAAAGCATTCCTGAGCAGTTCATTTAGTCAAGGTCGCTGATTGAGACAGAGGGCTGCAGGTAATGAACAGCCTATAAAACATTAACCAATCCAACAACCCTGGAATGTGTTTGTTCTGAGGTAAAAACACGCTACATGAAAAGTATTCAGATCACACTGGGGTTTGGAGCTAAAATAAATAGCTGGGAGCATTTAAAAAGCCATAGCTTTAAATAAGCAATTTTAATCAGTAATACAGTATATATCACAAGCTGAATTTTCACTGGAGACCAGGATTCTGTGGCTTGCTTGGCACGGAAACCGAGTCTCTAAGGAAAACTGGAATTAAAAAAAAATCTGGCACTCAGATATAGACTGCCGTCAACAAACCAAGCACATAAAATACTTCTCTACTAAAAATCATGTGCTAGAATATGTGTTATGTGCTTATACAACGGGGTTAACGGTAAGACTTTCAAGCAATCGAACACAAAAGCATCTGATGCAAATTTACCTCCGCTCCCGAAGGAACGTGTTTGCATCTTAATTAGTCAGCATTTATCTGCATATGACTGTGTATGGATGCATACACAGTATTCATACCCTAATGTCATAGAGCATTCTCTATGGCTCCGGTGACACTGTTCAATTAAAACACACGTGCACACACAAACACACACACATTTACATGAATGCAGTGGTTGAATAGAGCCCAGCATTTAGAGCAAGAGAAGCTATTAGCATTACTGCCACGAGGACACGCTGTGACCGGGGAACTGTCATTTTTTTAAAAACGATTTTATTCACACTTAATTTAATTATCAAGGCTCGCGAGTGCCTGACAAACAGCCTGCAAGACAAAAGAAAGCATTGTTCAGTAATATAAAAACACAAAAGGAGTAAATGAAATAGCCTGCTTCATGCTTTTTGAATGACGTGTGCAGCTTAACACCTTCACAGTTGGCATTTCAAGTAGTCATTTGTCAGAGGAAAAATAGATGTGGTGCATTTTCAGCTGCACTTAACAAAAGATGTGTTATCAGAAGACAAACATGAGGGCTTTCTTTAAAGTCCTGCCACTTTAAACGCTGAAACACTGACACAAAAATCTGAATTGAGTAAAAGCACTCAATAACTGGATTAAATAACTTTGACTAATGTCTTTTCATAACTGGATAAGTCATACTAGCAACATACTGAGTTATTGCATTCATTTGGCAGGGAACAAATCAAGGATTGTGCGTCCGTAGCTGTAGGAAAGGTTGATTGGCATGATACAGGTGCATGAAAGTTATAAAAGTGGAAGTCTGAAAAATGTGCTGCATTGTAACGACCTAAATTATGTGCCTCTGGCAGAAAATAAGCTTAAATGTAAGACAAATATCTGTATTGCTGCTTTACTGTTTTTTTTTTTAATTACTTACATGAGGTATGGCATCATGAACTTCTAAAGCAGGGCATAAGAACTGTTATATTTTCTTTTAGGGAAAGCATTTTAACCATGCATGTGTGTATTAGTGTACCTGTATAGCATTGGTGATGTTCCAGCCAGCCTCCCAGGCTGTGATGGTGGGAGAGGGGTTCAGACCCAGGGTGCAGGTTTCGGGGCTCTGAACTGAAGTAACCAAACTCATGCTCCCACTCTGTTTTTCAAGGCATGTACAGAGCTGAGACGTCCCTTCTACGGGTTTCTCCCCCTCTTGATTCTTCTCTACATCTCCTGAAACTCTCCATTTTACCATTTTCCCTCTAGGAAGCCCAGATGGTCTGATGGACTTCTTCTTGTTCCCCCGGTTCTGGCTGGAACCTTGATTCTCCCAACTCTCGCTTCCCATCTTTTCACCTTGCATCTCAGATAATCTTTTTTCTTTTTCATAGCTTCTGGTATTTTCCAACCAAAAGGGGTCTTCAGTAGAGACAGCGGAAGTTATGGTGAAGGTCTTGGTTCCAGTGGAGATTACAGTAGCCCTGGTTTCTTTAAAGGCTGGGCTTTCCCATCCTAAGGGGCTGGTGGCTCCGTTATGAGCTGCTATAGAGGGCTCATCTTTGCGTCTGTCTTCTCTTGATGACGGTCTGCTGTTTATTCTGTCATCAAAATGTGGATTAATATTGCTTGTGATGTTGTTAAAGGCTGATCTGTTGTCCTCACAGTAACTTCGGTTTAACTCATCGCTCTGGGTCAAAACCAGCATCTCTTCATCTCCTTGAAAGAATCTGTAAATCAAAACCTCCTTTGAGAGCTCATGATTTGAGAGCCCCATCTTTCATTTTACAAAGAACTTCTAAATAATTTTTACTCCTCCAGAGGTTCCACACATATTCAGACAGATAACAAAATAGGAAAAATATCAAGAAGTATGAAAATAAATCTCAAACCCTCAATAAAGTTATATCAGTTGTGAGAAAATGAATCTATAAAAGTTCACGAAAGTTATGTTATTATATGTATAACATTACTGTAAAAATATCGCTCATTTTTAAAGTGAATTTATAAATAAATATATCTCATGATGTTACTAACCTTGTTGTTCGGTCCAGGTGCAGCCTCGACATAGCCCATCCCCACAGAGACCCAGCGGCACTCCAGGGCTGCTCAGGCCCACGAGCCCAGTGAAGAGAGCCCATCTTCAGCCTTCGTGTCTGCAAAGTAAGCCTCTCTGTCTTTGGAGGTCTTAGCCTCCGGGGGAGCTTAACTCACACTGGACACATAAACAAGCCCAAACAAAAATTCTCACCCAAACACACACAAATACAGGAGTAACATATTCACTCAAATTAGCACATCTGTGTAAGTACTCACAGTCACAGGTGTGTGAATTGACTGACAGGTTGATGAGCTGTAACATTATAATATGCCAGTGCTTTCAGCGGGGAAGAAGTAAACAGCTCTAATGGCCCTGAGTACACTCAGGGAGTGGAGGCCACTGTAAACAAGTAAACAAGAAACACCCTGAATTCCCGTAGACAACCCTACACCACTACATTTACATTTATCTTACTGCTGTTTGGCAGCAGTAAGATAAAGTAATTTATTCTATCCCAATTTATCATTTATGTTTATAACAGACCAGAGCACTTTATACTTTAGTACACTTCAGTACACACCCTATAAGTAACAGCCCTATATGTCCCTTATATTTGGTAAAATATAACATCTTTATATATTTTTTTAAACCGTTTTGTATTTGAAAATTGCTTTAATTCCACCCTTAGTCTAATTCTTCTTTTTACCCAACATACAGAGGTACCAACACCTCTAGTTACCAAATATCGTGCATCTTTAACTTTAATGTGCAGGTCATATGTATGTATCAGCGTCTCTGATTGTTTCAACAGTTGGAGCTTCATGTAGTTTCACATCTCACTTCATTCTTTAAACTATAAGCAGTTTTTTTTTAACTTAAAACTTTTTTTTGTCCACAAATAAATAAAATTGTAAAATAAACTGATAACAGTGCATGGCTTTCCCTTATCTAAAGTCTCTCCAGTTTATCTGTGATTTAATGTTGTTTTGCCCCAGAGTGTGGTAAGTTCTATGGGGCAGCAGGAGGAGCCATAGAACAGTAGAGCACATCTGGACACGTGTGGACCAGAACTTCTGGCTTTTCTGATACTGTCTGTGAACCACTACTTTTCAAACTTTTCCCTCTGCTTCTCCTCTTCTCAGAACTGATGCAACACTTCACTGGCTTTGTAGCATCTGTCTGAGTGTTCTTGTCTTGAAGAACACATTTTGGTTACAAGACCGCTCATTTGGATGTAGTGTTGTTGTTTTTTTTCACCTGCATCTCCCTAGGAAGGTTTCATATTCCATTCCCATCTCCCCCACCCTTGCTCCCGCCACAACTTTTAGAGAGGAGGAGAAACGAGAGGAAGAGGAGGAGGAGAAGAAAAAGAAGAAGAAGAAGAGAGAGTTTGGATCAACTTCTGTTAAAACTTTTCTGGCGTTCAACTCAACATTGAGCCGCGCGAGAGGACGCCGCGGACCCCACATCGCGCGCGCAGCAGGCTACACCATAGCAACTCAGACAGGACAAAATGAAGTTGCTTCTGCTCGTACTTACGACCGCGTTGCTATGGCAACACTGCCAAGCCCAGCAGAGGGGTAAGTCATCAGCGACTGATAGATAATCGATACGCCGATACCCGGCGCTCTCTGCTGGAGTTCTTTACACAGAACCCCCAGAGCTCATTCGGCTGTGGCTGTTTCAGCGTGTCCCTTAATGAACCACTCATTTAGTAATTAGCTACACCTTTTAACTTCCGGCTATCAGTTCAGTATATTTTGTCGATTTAGCTGCGAAGAAGCCTGCCTTTACTGTCTGTAGCTTTACTTTGTTTTCAATTAACAAAAGGGAGGGAAAAGTATGGGAAAATCATTCAAAGCCTATTTAAACACGTTTGTCAATGAGCACAGCCGTCTGCTGTAGCCCTAAGTTAATACTAGCACTTGATGAAAAGATGTTTATGGTGGGATTTATGCCCGCTTCGTCTCTTGAATCTGATATTGAAAAAAGAAGAAGAGAGAAACACAAGTTTAATGGGTCAGAGACTTATTGGTGGATTTCGGATTATTTTTAGCCACATAAATCAAATTAAGTGCTTGACCTTAAACATAATTGACCCTGGCTTAGCTGTACTGTTATGTGTTAGACAGATGTCCCTTGGCTTGCTCTTTTGCAGTTACTGCTGCAAAACAGCATACACTGAGTTTATGATGATCTAGTCCATGTCACTGAGTTTCACAAAATATAGCCTTCCCAGTATAGAGTCCTTCTTTTTCTTTCATAAAGTTTATGTTCCACCTACTGCAACATCATCAGAAACTTATTTATTTTCAATCAAAAATCATATTTCTTTGGTCTCCGGTCACTGTAAATATAGACAATGTGTATATAGGCAATACTTTGTAGATGCACAAAGTGACACATTTACATCTAAGCACACAAATACAAGACCTACGCATCAGTAGTGACGCGTAACATATGTGCACTATTAAAAGTAATGTCTCTTCTTCTTTTTTCTATTCTGTAACTCACCTCCAGCCCCAGCTGTTAAGGCTCTTAGCAAGTTACAGCATTAGGCAGGGCCGGTTGACCTCACCTGGGAAAACCAGCAGTTTCTAGTTTACTTAGTCACACTTCAGGGGCAAAAAATAGTACTGTTTGGTCAAAGCCACTGGGATCTCATAGAAAACATTGACAAAGTCAGATGTAAGGCTAGTAGCGCTTTCACCCAGGAGACTGCGGTTTATGTCCTGCTTTTTTTTTAATTCTAATTTTCACTTCCTTAAAAAAAAATGAATGAATGTACTAAAAAGCCATGCTAGTTTTTATTTCATATATTGATTTTGCAGTATGACTTTAATATATTTGGTCAGAAAACCCAATATAACAGAGTTAATTGAATACCTTTACAAACTTAGAGTTGGAAAAATCATCTCTAAATTGTTTTAAAACATTATGTGTTTGCAGAACCAATGCTCTTAACCTCTTAAGCCCCAAGCCTACCTGATCTCCTGCTTTTTGCCCCCGTATCAGGGGCGTTGGGGGTTAAGAGGTTAATACATAAGTAAAAACAAATACACTGACCACTCATTTCTGAACATTTTTGGTGATATAAAGATTGTCCTAAATAATAGGAAACTGATGCTAACATTTTTTAAACAAACAAAAAACTAAACAATCTGCATCTGTGGACACCAACTGAAAAAAAAAAAGTCTAATAGAAGTAAGAATTCAATTTTTAATTAGAAGTGCCCTGAAATGCACTCGAGAAAGAAATACTGCTCTTCTTTTACTTGGTATGTGTGCAAGGCTATGAAAGATTAATTCATTTAATGTGTGTGTGTGTGTGTGTGTGTGTGTGTGTGTTAGGGCCCTGACACAGTCAACAATGAAAAATGAGCAATGAAGCCTTGAGCAGAGATGGGGATTGACAGCTGAGACAAAACCAGCATAACATGGTGCACAAGAAGAGTCAAAATATTCATGCAAGCAGTGCTTCTAAGAGTTGTTAAGCAAATTATCTCACAGATCCACAAAATGCATTAAAACTGGATTGGAAAAGATGAAACAGTTGCATCCTGTGCAGGGAGCTGATCAGTCAGGTGTTTGAACATGAGTGCGTGCAGAAGTTCTTTGCATGTGCATGTTTTTTTCAGTATGAGGTGATGGTGACTGTTGCTTGAAAGATGAAGCAAATGTATTGCCAGTCATGCTTTTTTCTATTTATCCTCTTCAAACCATCTCCAACTAGTCTGTAAACCTGGAGTGCTCTGGACCTCCCGCAGAGAAGAGGATGGGGACTGCCATCAGGATGTATGTGGTTCTGTATATTGTTTGTGTGCGAGAGATGGAGAAAGAGTGAGCTGAAGAGGGTGGAAGAGGCCATCTGCTTAAGAAGCCTCATTACCAGGCGTGTCAACCAGGCATGCTCTCTATCAGCGACAGAGCTCAGAGAGACACTAGGAGATAATCAGAAAGAGAAGAGAAGGAGGCAAGCTGAAAGAGAGAGGAAGGGGGATCTGTTTAAGAGTTGTTAAGAACTGGAAGAGTGATAGAGAGTGGACTGATGAAACAGGTAGACAGAAGGTTCAGAGGATATAAGACAGAGGATGAGGTTGAAGTATAGATGTTCAGCAAGGAAACCAAACTACATTAGCAACTAAACAACAACAGCTTGACTGGAAAAGAAGGTTTTGTCATTCTCCAATATTTATTTTGTGCCTGTGAGAGGGTAGAACTGAGATCATTTTTGTTGATCAGGAAATAATGGGTATTTTTTGGTCATAGTGGAAGTTCAAGTACATTCCTGGAGAGTCTGGTGAAGAATATACCAGACTTTTCAGCTTCAGTGTGGAACATAAATAAAGTTCATTAGTTTTAACTGATGTATTCTCCTGATTCTTGTATCTGAAGAAAAAAATCTTTGCGCAGCTTTGAGGGCATATGAAAGGATTTGTCTGTGCTGTTCTCACTGGTTTGAAGTTGGGAGGGTGAGCTGGAAAATGTGATGCTCTACAATTCTCTTCATCGATAATGAGCTATCAATACTTAAATCTGAGGATTTTTTGTGTTTGTTTGTTTCTCTCAGTTGCCTCAGCATCGACTTTTGAGTGTTAAACACTTCGGGGTATTTTTCCCTCTTAAACTTGGATTCGCTGTTTATTTATTATCTTTGCTTGTTGAAATTTCTTGAGATAACGTGAAATCGGGGTCTCACAGACACCATTATTTGCTGATATTATATGGAGTGGTTGAAATAATGAAAAAAGATCAACAGATTGATGAGAAAACACTGAGGTTTTGGCAAGTGATAATCAGTGAACATTATGTTGAGTACTAATGCCAATACATTGCTATTAGCAAAAACAGTATGCACTGGTCAGCCAAAACATGAAAAATAGGTCTGTGGCTTAAGGCCACAGACCTAGAGACTGGTCGGCGACCTGCTGGAAACCACTCGTTGCTTCTAAAAAAATGATATTCCCTGAGTGGTTGCTGGAGGCTGCTGGCAGTCACTAGGTGAAATTGGCTGCAAAGAGCTATATGGCCTTGCACCAAAAACTGCCTTGTGATTGCCTTGATTATTAACAGATTGCTGTGGTCACCTGTAATTTGCATGTAAGACAGTGCGTTGTTTGCAGTTGCCAAATACTCATCAAGTAGCAGTGAAACTGTGAGAATTGCAGCGCAAACTGGAAACGGAGTTTGCCTTCAAAGTAAAAGTGCACCATTCAAAATGATTGGTTGTACTGGTAGGGTACAACTTTTACTTTGAAGTTTGGGGTGCACGTTTACAAGTTTCGCTTTAGCTCAGTGAGTAGCTGACAAGTGTTTGCAGACAAGTTGGTTGGTTTTCCATGCAAACTTCAGGTGACCATGCCAATCTGTTATTGACCACCAGGAATCACAAGGTTTTTGGTGTCGCACGCTCTTTGCGACCAATTTCATCAGGCGACATGCAACAAATCTCCAGCAAACACTCACTAACCACTTTGAGAATACTTATTTTTCTCTAGTGGCCAGAGATTGCCAGGGTATACTGACAGGTAGGGGTATGTAACTGGGTCCCCTCTTTCCACTAAAACATTAATGTGGTTTTAATATGTGGAAAATTAGTGTTGGTGGATGCTTATGAATTATTTTGCTCCTGCACATTCCTTGATTTCATATACTCTTATAACTTAGCATGAGCCTTCTTGCACTATAAGTTTTAAACTCTGACTTTCTATCAGATGAGAGCCAGTGTGATGCATGGGACTCTGGCACCAAACCAAACAACTGTGTTGATAAAAGATAGCAAAATGTCAAGAATATGTGGCTGTCACTGGGGAAAAAATGTAAAAGTTCTGAGAAGTTGCCAGAAAGTTAACTTGTTGGAGTTATGTGTGTATTAATGTGAGTATTACCAGCCTGATTTGCATGAATAGATGTCAAGTATACTCACTAGAGACACTAGTGTGGATTGAATCCAGACAAGGCTTGTAAACCAACTGAGAAATCAGCATTTGTAGTCAGTGAATTTATGTGACTTACTCATAATCTACTGTCCTGCAGAAACCTCATGCTGCCTCTTAGACAAGATGCAAAAATGTAAGGAAGAGTGAGAAAACTGATTGATTTCCCTGTTGATGTTTATCACACTTTAAGTGTAATTAAAGGTGCAGACTAATCCTGTGATATATTTTCTCCTTGGCAGGATCTATTTCAAAAAATATAACAAGTAGTTAATTTGCTGATAAAAAAAAGTCTCTTCATAGCAACTACAGATGTGTTTATAAGTTTATGGTAATGTGGATTTAACCAAGCTGGGCCAAATGCGATGAGATGTGAACTCACCAGAGGCGCCGCAATGAAGGCGATGTGAATCCAGAATGGGTTTTTCTGCTCATCAGAGAAATCAACATTTTTATGAGGTGAATTCATCCCAACGTTATAACGTTTCTAAAATATGTTGATCTCACTCTGCTATGTTAATGTGAGAGCAGCCGAGCTTAGCTGAATGGATTTGATGGTATACACAGGAGGGGGAAGCTCACTTTTTCTTAGCCTGGTACCCAAATTCAGTGAATATAATCAATGTGTCCTAGAAAATAAAGAT